AGAGGCTCCCATGGAGACCTGGAGAGCAGAATCCTTGACTCCTAATCGACACAGTGGATCCCATTTCAAATGAAATTAAGAAAACAAGCTTAGAAATTGGAAACTCAATTTTTGTAAAAACAGACTGTGATAAAACACAGTTGTCCTAATATTTTGATAATTTAAATACCCTCAGCAGTTCAGGCAAGCTAAGGGCTTAGAAATAGTTTTACCTAGGCTGGATCATTTAACATTTGATTTGAAAAGTCATGAGCCAGTTAAGGAGGTCTGAGGGTATGATAAGACTGTGATAAGACAGGTTTTCAAACAAAGATATATGATCCTGTGAGTGCCACCTGGACTTGGACAAACAACATGAGATACAAGAAAGAGGTAATCAGGAGGCCTGAATCTGAAACCTAGCTTAGCCTCTTAATTAGCTATATGACCTTGCCTAGGCCCTTTAACCTCTCTGACCTCATCTCAATAGTGAAGTTACAAAAACAATAACACTGCCTTATATATCTCAGAGTTCTTTAACAATTCATGTGTGGTGGAGGCCAGATAGAGCTACAGTTAAAGGCATCAGCGCAAACCTCAGCCCACCACACACTGGCTATGTGACCCGGGCATATTTTAGATCCCTCTAGATTTTGACTTACTCATATGTAATACATATAAATGGATACTAATACCTCATCAAAGTAATTCATTTTGGCATAAATAGTGCTCCATAGTCACTATGGTTTTTTTTTTCCTCATTGAGTTTATTGGTACATTTTAGGTATACAGTACAGTTACATTCATTACTGGGATCTTGTACCTTTACACGACAGGTCTTGGTTCTCATTTTTTCCCCTTGTCCCTGCCCTCCCTTCATCTCCTCCTCCCCTCCCCATTTACAAACACTTCACTTCCATTTTTTCATTTTCTCATTTTTTTCTTTTCCCTTATTACCTTCCCCTACTCTTCCCACTTTCCCTACACCTTTAGCTCTTTTTTTCCTATTTCACATGGTTAATCATATCATTAAGATCTTATGTACTATTATAGTTTTTCACACCACAGAAACTATTCAGTATTTATACATATGTGATTTATTTATTTCACTTAGGAATATATCCTCAATATGCATCCATTTTCCTATAAATGACTCTAATTTCTCATTCTTTATGGCTGAATAGTATTCCATTTTATGGAAAAATCACATCTTCTTTATTCAGTTTCCACCTGATGGGCAAATGGGCTGTTTCCAAGTTTTAGCTATTACAATCTGTGCTGTTATAAACATGGGTGCACATATATCACTGTGGTATTATTCTTTTAATTCTTTTGGAAAGATATCCAGCAGAGGGATGTCTGGGTCAGATGGAACCTCTAGTCCCAGCTCTCTGAGCTATCTCCTTATTGATTTCCATAGTGGTTGCACCAGTCTGCACTCCCACCAACAATGGAGAAGGGTTCCTTTCTCCCCACAACCCCACCAACATTTGTTATTGGTTGATTTCTTAATAGCAGCCATTCTTTGTGGTGTGAGGTGGAATCTTAATGTTGTTTTCATCTGCATCTCTCGAATGACCAATGATGTGGAACATTTTTCATATATTTACTTTCTGCTTTTCTTTATCTGAGAAATGTCTGTTCATTTCAGATGCCCATTTTTTATTCAGGTCTTTTTATTTGGGGGGGGTTGATTGTTTAGAGTTCTTTGTATATTCTAGATAAGAGTCCTTTGTCTGAGGAGCAGCTGGTAAAAACTTTTTCCCACATTGTAGGTTGTCTCTTAGTTCTGTTGATGGTTTCTTTTGCAGTGCAGAAGCTTTTTAATAAGATGAGATCCCAGTTGTTGATTCTTTCTGCTAGTTCCTGTGCTACTGAGGATTTGTTCATAAAGTCTTTTCCTATGCCAATGTCTTCCAGAGTTCTGCCTAACTTATCTTCCAGCAAGTTTAGTGTTTCTGTTTTAATATTTAGATCTTTCATCCACTTGGATTTTAATTTAGTGCATGGTGAAAGATAAGGGTCCAGTTTTAATCTTTGGCAGGTTGAAATCCAGTTTTTCCAACACCATTTATTAAAGAGGCTATCTTTCCTCCAGTGAGGATGGTTGGCTCCTTTGTCAAAGATGAAGTAGCTGAGTACATCTGGAGTTGTTTGTGTATTTTCCAATCTGTTCCACAGACCCTCAGGTCTGTTTCTTTGCCAGTATGATGCTGTTTTTATCACAGTGGCTTTGTAATATAGTTTCAAATTGGGAATTGTTATACCCGCTGCCATGTCTCTGTTGCCTAAGACAGCTTTTGCTATTCTAGGTCTCTTATGGTTTCAAATGAATTTTTGCATTATTTTTTCTAGTTCTGTGAAATATAGTGTTCGAATTTCAATCGGCATTTCATTGAATCTGTATAGCAGTTTTTGTATTATTGCCATTTTCACTATGTTGATTCTGTCACTATGTTTTTCTACCACTAGTGTGATTGCAAACTGTTCAGAGTATATAATTGAAACATTATTATTTTATTTAGCATATTATTTCACTGAATAACAGGATAAATATTGAAAAAATACAGGCAGGAAGGGTAGAATGGAGATGATAAAGCATTGCTCTTCTTAAAAATGAAGGGATTTGTAAATAAGGATATAGGAGAACTCAGAACCTTTCTCACAAAATTAATTCATATTGGCTTCGCCAGAAATGGTCATATAGACCTTTTTTTTTTTTTTGGTTTTTTGAGACAGGGTCTCACTATGTAGTTGAGACTGACCTGGAACTCACTATGTAGCCCAGGCTGGTCTCGAACTCACAGTGATGCTCCTGCCTCAGCCTCCCGAGTGCTGGGATTACAGGCATGCGCCACCACGCCCAGCCATATAGATCTTTTTTAAAGAATGAAAACCATTAGCCATGACCAATCGCTTCATGTCAGGTTGGGATAAGGTACCTAGTGAGAGACTGTGATAACCAGGGATAATTCAGATCTTCTCTAACATCTCCACCCACTGAGAGCACAAGTAATTGATACGTTAATGAAATGTGTAAAGATACTCAGGGAACATTCAGTCAGCCTCTTTAAAGCTGGAGTAACGAAGCTAGGAAGACCACAAATAATGCAGAGTCTCAAAAGTTCATTCACCTACTCAGAAAATATTTAGCCCCTGCTTGGTCCCTTTGGGCACTGAATATAGAGCAGGTAAATCACTACCTTGCAGTAAGAGAAAGGCCATGGGTATAGGTAAGTCTGAGGTGCTAAGGACACTCAGAGATGTGGCTCCTAACAAACACAGGCATCAGAGAAGGTTGTTGAGAGGAGGCAACACCTGAGTAGATTCTGCATGGATGCCCTAAAACTAGTCTGATTCAGAAGGACTGGCTGCCTTCAGGGTGGAGGAAGCACCATCCACAGTGATCCAGAAGTTAAACTGCAAGTCACTGAATTTGGTCATGCTAGAGTAAAGGAGCCCAACCTTTTTCAGTATAAGGGTTCCTTTGGAATGACAACAAATGTGATGGCCTTCTCACAGAAGACTAATTGTCCTTTTAAAATCACCCTAAAACTAGTATGGTTGTTGGATATTCACACCTGAAACAAAATAATAAAAATACACTATGAGGATGAAATCTTTCTGGGATTCTTTTGCAACTGAACACCTTAGTTCAACCTGCCGAGCACCAGCACACCGACAAGTAGACTCTCTACCCCAGGAATGAAGCAAAAGCTTCACAAGCTTGATAAGGTCGACAATGACTCTCATATCTCAGTTCTCCCACTCCCACGCTATCCAGAGGCAGGTGTGACTGTCCATTCATTCTTCAGTAATTCCAACGAGGAGGGAAGCTGCCTCCTCTAACCAGATCTGGACCCAGCCCAAACTTACTCATATGGAGCTCTTCTCTGCCTTGCTGTCCCCTGAGAGCAATTTACAACACACTTATCTCAGGGAACTCACTGTTCTGTTGGCCATGGATCTGATTATCTCTTTCTAAACTTGTCCAACATTCATACCACAGAAGGAACACGAAACAAAGGCCTCTGTATCAATCTATAACATTTTATTCTCTTTACAGCTTCGATGATACCACTGCAATGTTACTACCTTGGAGGTTAGACAAGGCCCAGAGAGAGCCATCACTATGTAATGCTGGTTTTCTGAGAGTGACCCATAGCCTTATTTCCAGCTAGTAGCTTGATTCTAGCTTCTTCTACTGACTTGTAAAACTGAGCTTCCATATGGCTGTCAGGAACACTTGGGATGTTGTCTGGATTCTGTACCATAGGCCAATGATGGGTAGCATTTCCCTCCCAACTAGTTTAACATGACTGTTTCTCTTTTCTAAGTTTGTTATGATTATAGCCTCTCTTCTCAGGATCAAAAATATATGGTTCTAGAAAAATAATAAAAGCAAGCAGGTTAGATAAATTATGATCACAAATGCCCACTTTCTTAAATCAGAAAAAGTAGAGTTGTTAGATAAGTCTCTATCCTTCTTTAGAATAACCCTATAAAAGTAACATGCCAATTCTCTAATCTGTAGGATAAATTAGCAAAAGTAAATGGTAAATTTCTGAAAATATCTCAAGCCCATGCATCATTCCACAGAGGAAAATTGTTGAAATAGAAAAAGCTAAGCTGACCTGCAATTGTGAATTTTTAAAAAACAAGGCATGATACAGCTACTGTATCAGAAACTTTTCATGGGTCTCAATTATGTGCTGTGGCACAAGATTTCCTGGGTTCAATTCCCAGTTCCTGGACCTACAAGCAGTATGGCCTTGGGCAAATCACTGAGTTGCTCAAGGTAAAATGAAGATTATGATGGTTCTTTACTTCAGAGGGTTATCAGGATGTCTGGTAAGTTATTACAATAAAGCACCTAGGTCAGTACCTGGGCATGGCCTGCGTCATGAGTGCTGGCTGAGTGGACATCAGAGACTGGGAGGAAAATGAGGACGAGGTGGGGCTTTGTCAAGATGGCTCTTTGATGATGAAATAATGAGTTCCCTACTGTTTCCCCACTGTAGGTCAGTGCAGCTGAATGGCCAGCCCCTAGTGATGGTGGACGACGGCACCCTCCCAGAATTGAAGCCACGCCCCCTGCGGGCCGGCAGGACGCTGGTCATCCCTCCAGTCACCATGGGCTTTTATGTGGTCAAGAATGTCAATGCTCTGGCCTGCCGCTACCGATAAACCACCCTCTACTCACAAGCTACCAGTGGGCCTGCTGGATGGCTTTCTGCTCTTCCACCCAATAGTGTCTTTGTTTTTCAGACATCTTAGTAACCAGCCTCTGCTGCCCCATCCTGTTGGAGTCAACATAGACTTACTGTCCAAAGAGACTAAATATCATAGTATGAGCTTAGCCTACGTAGGTTGCACCCATCCCTAAGGAAAATGTAGACATCATCTGTCCCTATATAAGGACAAAGGTTTGTGTCGAGAGCTGTATGTTTCCTTTGCATCACCATGAAAAAAGGCTGATAGCAAACTCCCAGGACAAATGTTTCCAAGCAATTTCCCATGATCCCTGTTGCACAACACTATAATTACAAACCCTAAACTTTAGTCTGTTGCTGCTGCCCTCAGCAGAAGATTAGGAAAGAAAAGTCTGGAAGAACCTGCAAGAACCCAATCCCTTTCTAATTCCTCCTTTGTCTGTTTCCTGCTGCTGTCCTGGGTTTCCTGACACCTCTCTTCCCATAGGGGAGCAAATGGGTGAGTCAGCTCTGGCCTTCTGGGTGAGCTGTTTATGTAATTTCCTGGTTGATGTATGTGTGTGTGCATCTGGGTTTCTGACAGTGGCATCCATCACTGGCTATTCCTCCGGGAAGCAGGTGCTTCAAAAGTAGAATTACAATCATACTCCAAATTTTGTACAAAGATTCTATTCCTCTGTGAATTTAGATTCCCCCAGGCTTGGAATGGGAGTCAGGTAACAATATTCACTGAGTAGAGAGTAATGTATTAGACACCATAAAAAGCAATCATCATTCTTCATGTTGCCAGGAGGGAAAGAGTTGTAGTACAAATAAAAAATGTATGGAAGTATCAGGGAGGCAGGGGGAGAGAATATCAACTAAATAAAGCAAATTAAACCTGCCCCAAAAATCAAAGAATATTAAGGGCTTGAGAAGGTAAGCCCTTATGTTTGGCTAGCCAAAACCGATTTAGAAGAAGAAAGAGTGACCCAGAAGTCATTCTTGTAAAACGTAACTGAATCTAACCTTTCTTCCCCTCCCCATGGAGCTGAGCTTCTCAGTGGCATTTACTAGGCAAAAATCCAATCTGGTCATTAAAGATGACCAGGTCCATTCCCTCCCATTGAGCATAGAACAAGCTTTCATGGAGACATACTGAGGGAGTATGGGAAATCTGAAGACAGGGGCCAGACGGCAAAACTGCAGAATGGTAGTGGGAAGCTACTGAGTTGGGCAGGGAGAAAGGGGAGTGATTTAAAGTTCAGGATGAGGGTCTTTGTGACTCCAGAGGTATGTAGGCCCTTGCAAACAAGTTTCAACTGTAATGACTTTCTTGTTCTTCTCAGAATAAATGATGTGGATGATTTTTTTAAGGAGGAACTATTTGATATAACTAAAGGTTCCAGTTCACACAGTGGTTCGACCTTCCTGGGTGAAATGATAGAGAGAGGGTGAGGGTAGAGTTGCTGAGGGCTACTCCAGGCAGGCTGCCTAAAATGCCTGAGTGAAGATCCGGGCCAGGTCTGCAAAGTGAAAAATAGGAGCAAGGTGAGATAAGCAAGGCAGCGTAAGATGCTCAGCGTGGAGAAGTGGGAATTTGGGAGACAGAAGCCAACTTGCTAATTTATATTTAGGGCAGTGGACTCGATTTTTGACATCTTTATTAATAGGTACCGGAGGAAGAGCACACAGGAGGTATACCCAGGTGAGTAAACGACAGACTGAGCTTGGACTGGACCAGCTCATCGGCTGTGCTCAGCTTGGAAGCTGGAGAGAAAGGAGCAGAGCCTGAGATTGGCCCCCACCCACAAGGCTCCCCAGGGGAGCCTCCTCCTCTGGAACCAGGCACCCTGTGTCAAAGTTTCACCTTTGAGAGGGCAAGAGAAGGAAGTGCGAGCACTAGGGTAGGAAGGAGAGAAGAGGGAACAAATGGGCAGGGCAAAATAAGGAAAATTGGGGAAAAGAGAAACAAGAGAGTAAAGGAATACTTTCCCAAACTCTGCAGATAACAGAAACTCTTCTGTAGTCCAGTGAAGGTTCAGCTTCAGGACAAGGTAACCAAAGGTCCCTAATAGCCAGATCCTGGACTAGTTTACTTTGCATCCATAGAAGTCCCATGGTGAAATTACCATTGCCATCCTCATTTTCCCTACCAAGCATAGAGAAGAACTTTAGCTTGCCCAGGGTCACCCGGGGGAGTGGGTGGTGATTAAAGAATAATCTGGAGGCCCTGTGCTTCGTCACCAAACTCAGTAGCCACCCAAGTCTCAGGTTTTCCCCCTTCACTTCCTGATAGTTTCTACCCACTCCGTACCGCCAGGACTTCCAGAGCTCCAACCAAACACATTTTCTGTAAATAAATATTGATTTCACTAAGCCTTGCAGGATATAGGTAATTCCTGCCTCTTTTGTCTCTTCTGTGTATTAAATGCTTCACCAAGAGGTTTAAGTTTTACTTATTTTTTAGTTAATAAAAAGGGAAGAAGAAACACTGAAATTTATCCTCGCAGTCTTGCCATTCTAACTTTCCAACCATCTCATGGAAGAAGTATTTGGATTGTTCAAAGTGCACCAAGAAACTAAGTATAACATCACATTTCATAGAGATTTTAGCACCATTCATGGGAGGAAGCTGGGGTAGGATGGGAAAAATAGATACTAAACCAGGGGGGGTTGTTCTTTACAGGGGTGCACCCATCACTCTTCCCACACTGCCTGTGACAGGCACAGCATCACAGCATGCATCAAGGGAGCAGTGTGGAAGGCCAGCCTGAGATAGGAGTGAGGAGCTCATTCACTAGCATCTCCAGGTCAGTTTTCCCTCCTCAAACAAGACAAGGCTGGCCAAGATCATATGAGACTTAAGAGCTGAGCTTAGGGAAATACATTTTGAAAGAGTAATACTGTGCCTTTTGTGGAGATGGTTTTCTGTTACTCCCACTTCTAGGAATGATTTTGTTGCTTGTTTCTTGTCACAAGGCTCAGAATAAATTCTTATTGTTATTTGAAAAAAAAAAAAAAGGTCTCCCATTCTTCGAATGCCCTGAGAAAAGCTGCAGCTATGAGATATTGGCATTATCTCTGGCTGGAGAAAAACATGCAAACACCAGATCTGTGCTACTGTAAGGCTGGGGTCTGGGATTCCCAGCACAACTCCTTCTGTAACCTCAGCCCCTCTATGCAGCCATTTTGCGAAGTCCCAAGGCAGAAGAACCCAGAGCCCTACACACTCGAACAGGACAAGGGTGCTGTATGGATTCTGCCTGGAAGTCCCCTACTCATTCCCAGCCAAGCTATTAACCACCAGCACCCAGCATGGCCAGGGTCAGACCTGGCATCTATAGGTAGACTGTGTAGGCACCCAAGGTCCCATGTTGGGGATGGATGCAGCTGCAGGATTCACCCCCAAAATCCAGTAAGAGTGGCTTTATTTCTGAAAACAAAGGACCAGTGTTTAATCTCTGCAGAAACAAAGGTGACCTGATGTATCTCCCTGATGCTAAAAACTCTAGGACAGGAAAGAACTTTCATATTTTGAATTATCAACACAGCAATCAAAAATAATAGAAATGTCTCTGAGAAGGAAAAGGAAGGAAGGGCAGAAACACCTAATCTAACACAGCTTCCTCCACATCCTTCTCGTCCCACCTCAGCAACACTCTCCTGCTTTGGACACTGCTGACTGTTTTTTCCCATTAACCTAACAGCTCTACAGCTTCCCCCGTTCCTGTCCACTTCCACTGCTTCCACTCTGCCAGTCACCGTGCCCCAACCAGAGGCCGGGGCAATCTCCAACACTGAGACTGTGTCGAGTTCAATTTTAGAATTGTTTATACTTTTAGGATATACCACATTTGAAAAGAAGACAGTAAGAAGTACTCCAAACAAAGCCAGTGCTAAATTAATGAAGAATCTTATCCTTATTACAAGGCCCTAGCAACTGGAGCATTTAAAATCCTTCGCTCTGAGTTCCATTAGCAATGGTATAAATGCTTCAGTAATTGTCCTTACTTTACTGAATGCCTTTTTATCAGATATCTTCTTTAATCCTCAAGTTTGTACTGAATGCTGTACTGAGGAAACTCTATTATAACTGGGAAAACTAGAGAAGGAACCTATCCACAATCCGTCAGATAAAGAGTGGCGGAACTGAGCCAGGCATGGTGGCGCACGCCTGTAATCCCAGCACTCAGGAGGCTGAGGCAGGAGGATCACTATGAGTTCGAGACCAGCCTGGGCTACATAATGAGTTCCAGGTCAGTCTCAACTACATAGCGAGACCCTGTCTCAAAATACAAACAAAGAATGGCAGAACTGGATTTGGACCCAGGACTAAAATTCCAAAGCCTGTTGTCATTACACAGTGTTGTCTCTTGTCTGACGGGAAGCAGCCCACCTTTCCTCATTTCTGTGTTGCCCAGAGCTAGCTTTCTTAGTGTCTCATGTGTATCCCACAGAGAACCCTAGCATGCCTTCCCCTAGAACAGTTGATTTGGGGAAGTTGGTTTAGGAAAGACAGCTATTGGCTCTAGTGAGTCATAAGTAGGACTTTGACCAGTCTTTGTTAATTCAGACTTGTCTTAGACCAGCAGTGGCCCTCCTACTTGTTCCCTTTGTATTTTAATAACCCAAGGATTCCCTCCTAAATCATCATGGTACATGGGTTACGATTCTTGGTATTTTTAGGTCCTGGGAGGTAAGTGGCAGAGCCAATCAGTACCAATACACATGCTGTGTCCTTATCCCCATCTCTCAGGGATTGGTAAATCTTTATTTCCCAGACTAAGTAATATGTAGGAACCACTGTCCTAGGGGAGGTATTTGCAAATACCACTCTAAAATAAGAAAGTAAAACACAGCCAACCAACAGCTTTGGTACCACTTTCAAACATAAAAGCAGCCCCTGTGAGACCTAGGGACATGTGGGAGGAGCTGAGGAAGTTCCCTAAGACTCATGAATCAATCCGGTCCTGTGGGCAGCAGGGGAAAGGGGGCTCTTCTGACAGCCCACGTGAGGAACATTATTCTTCTAATTTTTATTTTTATTCATAAAAAATATTTTAGAATTCTTAAAGTTGTAAATGTTACATAATAAATTATATTTCTGGAAGATTCAAAAGGAAACCTTAGTTTTGTCCATGTAGAAGTTGGCAAAATGAATCCAAGGACACCCAGGAAACATTTTGTCTGTGTGCTGAAGATTTTAATAGGTGTTACTATTTCCCTCCAGGAAACAGATTATATTATGGTTTATACGAGTCTGGTGATTGCAGGAAATTTAAGTCCATGAGGTAGTTGATATTTTGAATAATGTTTAATAAGTAATAAAATGTGAGTATTCAAACCTTCTGTTCTCGGGATATCTGTGGAGAGGGAAACAACGCTGTGAACACTACACCTCGACCTTCAGACTGATTGCTTGATGAACTAGCATACTAGGGACCTTTGACTTCCTAGTGTACTGCCCTTCTCCCCTCTCCCTCAAGCCTGCTTCAGCTAGTCTAAGTAGAAATTAAATTTTGTAATTTAAGTTAGACATCACTGATTATATTAATCGAGGTTAGCTGTTAACTATAAAAATAGATCAATCCCAGAATTTCAATGGCTTAACAAGACTAAAGTTTACTCTTGCCCATGACTCTTGTAAAGTTTGGTGAACGGTAATGGGAGAAAGGGTGGTCATCACTCAGGGGTCTGGACCGATGTAGACCCTCTGCCATCTTTGCAGTTCTCCCCAAGGCTGCTAAAGGCACCAATATGAAGTTGGCCAGCAAGGAGAGAAAACATGCAGGAGTAGTTAAGGGCCCTGTCCTGGAACTAAAAGAAATCCCTTTCATTCTATTTCTTTGGCTAAAAATCAGTCATGTGGGCCTACCTAGACACTAATGCTCTGGGAAATGAAGTCCTTGGCCTGGCATCTACTTTCCAACAATAACTGTATTTCATGGAAAAGGAGCCCAAAACATTGATGGATGCTGAGAGGCTGGAGAATAAGTCAGTAATTTCCAGTCCTTCCAGAGATTTGCTATCAAATAACTGACAGTGTTTGTGTGTAGAGATAACTAATTCCACAGGATTTTTTGCCCACCCCATAATGACATAAAGGAGCTTTCTTTTCCATCTCCCCAACTCCTTAAATCTTGCTCTCCTCTTACTTGGCTGACTTATATCAGAAAACAATGTGTTGTTCCACTGCAATCCTGTTAGGATACACGTAGCACTCGATGCTGCGCCCTCTACTGGACACCTCAAAAATATAATTTGAAACCTCAAATAGCAAACTGGGTTAAAAGCTGCCTGTAGAATCAAAGGCCACAAATCCAGGGCAAACCCCCCCACCCACCCATCCAGAGAGAAGAATAGCGCTACTCCACTGATTCTGACCACCTCAGGAGAGAAGTCACTCAGCCTTTCTGGACCTCAATGTCATCATCTGTAAAATGTAGACCTTGAATTCAGTGACCCCCAGGGTCGACTGAATTTCCCTGTTGTCTAATTCTGTGTCATGCAGTCCCCATTCAAGCTGCTATTTTTCTATCTCCTTCTTGTGTATACTCAGATTAAAAAGGTTGAAGGAAGGGAATGGAATTAACATGAGAAAATGAAAAACATGGAAACAAAGTTTTTGTAGATAGGGAGGGAGGAAGGGTAGGGAAATGTGGAAAAAATAAGAACAAAGTTTGATTTTGTAAAGGTGCAAATTTCCAACAGTGAATGTCAATATATTGTATACCTTAAATGTACTAATAAAATTAATTTTTTAAAAAGTTAACACACTGGCAAAAAAAAACAAAAGAAAATAACTCATATCTGATTAAGGAACTTGTTTCTAAATATATAAAGAAGCCAAATAAGTAAGAAAAGCAATACACTTTTAAGTGGTCAAAATATATGAAACCTTTGAAGAGGAGTAATAAAGATGGCATATAAGAACATGGAAATAAATCCAACATCATTAGTCATGGAGAAAATGGCCAATTAAAACTATATAAGATATTCACATACCTAGAATGGCTAAAGTTTAAAAAGGACAATGTCTAGTGTTAACACGGCTACAAAAGAACTAAAACTCTCAGGATTGTTGGGGGATACAAAATGGTAAGTCCACTTTGGAAAATGCTTCAGGAGTTCAATATACATTTAAACATAGCCTTACCTTACAACCCAACAATCTCACCACTGGGTATTTATCGAAGTGAACCCAAAACTTATATTAAGCTTCATCATACCCACTCAGATGATGAGAGAGCGATGGGTGGAGAACAAGTGTTTCTGAGGATATAAAAATATTTGAACATTTGCACCGTTGGTGGGAATGTAAAATGGTACAGCTGCTGTGGGAAACAGTATGGTGATTCTGAAAAAATAAAAAATAAAACATAGAATTACTATATAATCTAGCAAATTCTGGGCACATACCCAAAAGAACTGAAGGCAAGGTCTCGAAGTGCTATCAGTATACCCATATTTGTAACAGCATGATTCATCATAGCTAAAATGTGGGAACAATTAGTGTCCAGTGATGCAAGACAAGATTAACAAGGTGTGTGTGTGTGTGTGTGTTTGTGTGTGTGTTCTAATATATTATAATTCAGGCCTTAAAAGGAAGGAATCCTGACATGCTACAACATGAATGAAACTTGAAAATATTGTGGCTAGTGAAATAAGCTAGTCACAAAAAAATACTATATGAGTCTTCTTACGTGAGGTGTTTAGTCAAAGTCATAGAGAAAGAAAGTAGAACAGTATTTAGAAGAGGCTAGGAGAAGATGAGATTGGGGAAGTGTTGTTTAATGGATACAGCAGGTCAATTTTACCAGAGAAAAAGGTGTTTATAGATATAGGTGTTTATAGATGTCAATAAC